ACGGTCTTCTCTGTCTTGTGCTCTTTGCAATTCGTGTTGGTCTAGATCTTGTTGTCTTTGCATCTCGTGTTCGGCTTTTAGAGACGTGAGCAAGTCCTGAAGCCTTTGATTTTCGGCTTGGAGATCAGGTGAGCCATTTATAAGCTGATCTTGATCGGTGGCTCCTTGGGTATTTACTAGTAACAACAGAAAGAAGAGTGTTCAAGTTTTGTCAGTTGGATGTTTGATGCAACACCCAGACGTAGAGCATTACCTATTGATTGCGGAGAAGACTCTGTGGTATCCAATGAAGCTACTCCAGGAGCTGCAGAACCAGCTTTCTCTGTCCCAGTCACTGTGTTCGTGAAAGAAAGCGAAGTGTGTTTGATGTTAGTTTGACTCCCAACCATATAAAACACGCCGAGTCAACTAGGTACCTGGAGCATCAGATGTTTGTTGAGTATCATCATCACCAACAAGATGTAACATGTCTTTCTTACTACCTGCGAGAAAGCAAAAGCGCAAAGTAGGAATTTAGAATGCTGTTTTCTCGGAAGCTACATCTCAGCTCAAAGAACCTTACCGAATGCCCAGTGTAGGAAGCCTTCCAGAATGATGTTCTTATGTCAAGATTTGGAGTAAATGCGAGCTGTTTGCTCTTCCAAGCAGGTGTGGTTTTATCAGTCGTTTTGACAGGTGCGAAAGAGGCACAAATCGACAACAGAGGGAGTGCAGTTCATGTTTTTGCAATTCTTTATTCTTTGCTCCATAATTGATCTTGTATCACGTCGCTTATCGTTCGATTTAAACCTCCACGTGAAAAAACGTGCGATGCGCCTTCAAAACCGTAGTCTCAAGAATCAATATCGCTGAAACGTGCGTCTAATCCTAAATTTCATTCATCTTTCATCTTTCGTGCTCTTCCACATAGATCCGACTTCTTCAAACACAACTGACGGTTGGATAAATAACTTGTTACATGTAAGAATGATGATTATATGAAACTTTTCCAATAGATTGTACCGGGAAACTGTCACTGAACAATGAGATCCAACTTGCCAGGATTCTGATGCCTCGCGACTTCCAGCGAGTCATCATCCAAACACACGAGGTCACCATCGTCATCCTTGAAATAAACCCGTTCTTTGCCCTGTAACGTTACTTTGGCTTTCAGCTTTGCTTCAATGTCGGCTACGGTGCTTGATTCCTTGACTATGAACATGACTGTTTCCTGAAAGATAGGATCATAAAGAGTTAAACACATAATTGCGAGAAAAAAAAGTCCTTGAATGTGGCACTCACCGTTGCTCGAACTCGTATCTTGACTTTGACACCTCCAGAACCACTTGAATCCACAGAAGCAGAACTGTTCGATTTCGAAATATTACTAACATGTGGTGGTAGTGCCAAAGCCGGCACAGTAGGAGGCAAATATCTCGGCGCATTCATTCGTCTCGGTGGTTCAGGCTGCGACGGTAGTCCTCCCGAAGGTGCCAAGCTACGTTCAGATCTGACAGGACTAGATCTGTCTGGACTGATATCCCCATCACGATCCTGATAATGTCTCGGCATAGGATCAGCGCTCCGTATTCTATTTCTCGGCGACTCTACATCAGAATCTGGCGATCTCAAATTGTTTTGTGATGAATGTGGCGATGCCAGGGATCCTGAGCTGGCAGATAGTAAATGTTCGGTGGATGGTGATATGTCACGATCGATTTTGATGGTTTTCTTTTCGGTAGGTGATTTCCAGGATGTGGATGATTCGGCACGGTCTTTGCTCCATGGTGCTGCTGTGGTGGATGTTTCGGGGTTCTCACCAGACATGCCGGCAGTGAGTCGTTCGTTGAACTGCTTGTCGGCTGCGTTCATGCTGAAGAAGGCGGTTACTTGGAGGGATTTGGAGATTTGAGGTGGTGTTGCGATTAAGTCCTGGAAGCGAAAAAAAAGTCAGACTGGACTATTGAACAATTGCTATGAAACACCGGATCACACCTTGCAATACTGATCAAGTTGCTCTCGTCTCTTTGACGTAACACTCTCCGTCACAATGATTTTAGGACCTGGCAGAAATCTAAAGTAGAAGCAGATAAGAACTCAAATCGTTTTGCAAAGGCCAAAAGAAACCTATTCATCGAAACTTACGGAATGATTCGTTTCCCTCCATTCGCACCAGCCTCATTGGGATAATCAGCCAACAACTGCACCTGAAACTGATAAAACTCATCATACTGTCTATAACAAATCCAGCTCTTTGACGGACTCTTGACTTCAGTAACAAACCACCACTTCCCATCCGCCCTCTTCTCATACCGCGTAACTCTCGCTCCATCAATTTCCGAAATGTCTTCAACGGGTGCAGCTTGGAAGACTCGTCGTTCACGTTTGGTCGGTAATGTTTCTTCTGCTTTGGCCGAAGCAGCAGATTCACTCTTCTTTCTGGCATCTTGCTTGGCAGCTTTGATAGATTCAGCCTTCTCACGATCGACTTTATCTTTTTCTTCTTTAGCAGCTGCTTTGGTATCCTTGATAATCTTGGCCTGTTCCTTTTTCAGGTCAGCCTTTGTCTTTGCAGCTTCTGAAATAACTGGCACGACATGCATACTAGTAGGCCGTAGCGTATGTACTGGTGCTATGGGTTCCGTGATACTGAGAAGTGCAACATAGCTGGCGGGAATAGCTCCCCCTCTCTTTACCGGCCACGTCGTTTCGGCCTGATACCAATTCTCATCAATTCGGCTAACGATATAAAATGCATCTCCGAGGGATAGAGTACATTCGTCCTTTACAGTTGCATCATACGAGTGGATGGCAACCGCTATTTGTCGCGATGCAGCAGCTTTTATGATACTGTCGTGTATGGTCGTAAATGCTTCGACGTAGGTTGCGGGCACCAGTCCGATTTTCTCTGGAGCGGCGATATTGTAGCATGTAATCCAGTCCGCGTCTCGTTCTTGGACTATTAGACACAAGTCCGTTAGTTTGATTCAACAATGGTTTCGACTACTACAAACTTGAAACAACAACGCACCAACAAGGAAATCCTCTTCATTTACAGACAATTCTTCGGGATCATGTGCAGTAAATGCGAATACTGCCTTTACAACGTCTTTCATGGTTGCTCGTGGAGCGTGAAACACTGTGGGCAAATTAAAGTGTTTAAGGTTGAAAACCCACGTCCCAATCGAACTTTGACAAGTCGAATATCAAGTATCATAGCAACGTCTTAGCACTTCCAAGTATATGACGGACGAATCGATGCACTTGCATATGAATAAGAGTCTTGTTTGTGACAAGACAAGGTTGGGTGCATTCTATTTTTGTCGACAGAGTGTCACATTGCGCGTTTCTCGATGCTACAAGCATAATCAAAATCAAGGAGCGATGCGCACGACTGATAAATTAGATTTACTTGGATCCCTATTTCCTGTTCATACGTGTCAGATTTCCAACTTGCGTCCACCAACTTTCTTGAGTAACCTCAACTTCTTTGAACGAACATCATAAGAAATTAGTAAGCTCATTGCTCCAGAACATATAGTGTCTATCCAGATATAGCATCTAAGATCTTTTGTCTCTTATTGCAATGGCATTCCCTGCCCCACGAACCGACAACTTTACACAAATCCTGTACCAAGTCGATGTTGAAAACCACCTGGCGTTCATCATCTTGAATCGTCCAAAGGCAAGTTATGCTTTGTTGTGATGTGCAGCCTTCAAATCTCTCCTGTTACCTCATCTCCATATATCATATCTCCCGTTTCACACCAACATCAACATCAAAACCTCACATTCCATTCACAAAACAGTACAGAAACGCATTTGGCCGCATAATGACCCTCGAAGTCGATGCCGCATTCGCAGCCGCAGCACACAATCCAGACGTAAAAGTCATCGTCCTGCTCGGCAAGGGAGACAATTTCAGTTCTGGCCACGACCTTGGGACTCCTGAACGACTCGCTGATGGCGTGTCGGATCCACTCAAGCAGCAGGGTATGAGAGGCGATTATGAGATGTGGAGCTCGACAGATGTGGAGGCGTGTTTGAGATGGAGAGCGGTTAAGAAGCCTGTTGTCTGTGGTGAGTCGGTGTTGTGAATCTTCGTTGAGGTCATTGCAGTTATGACAAGGTTTCAAGTGATGCAAATGGTTTATGGCAGCTTTCTTCATGAAGGATTCCACTGCAGACATGGTCCTACTGACTTTTATTGTTCTACAGGTATACAAGGCTACGTAGTTTTCCATGGTGTAGCAGTCGCATCAGTCGCAGACGTAATCTTTGCTGCAGACGACCTGAAAATGATGCCTTCACTGGTCGAAGTCACGACACTACCATGGGACCTAGCTCTAAACGCCCGTCGCGCTAAGGTATCAGGTTGTAATATGTATGTTTTGTTTTCGCATACTGACTCTCGTATTTTTGTAGGAAATAATGTTTGCACAACGCTTTATCCTCGCACAAGAAGCTCTTGAACTCGGTCTTGTAAACCGTGTTTTCCCTGCATCAAAGCTCCGTGATGAGGTTGTCGCGTATGCGAAAGTTGTGGCCAAAGCGGATGGGTTTCATTTGTGGATGATGAAGAATGCTGTTAATGGGGCGATGGATTCTGCTGGTGGGTTCTACACTGTGATCGCGAGCGGTTTTTTTGGATACTTTTTTGATTTTGATTTTATATAGGATACACACAGAATATTCGAAGCAACCTAAACACATGGGCAGCATACTATGCATCATTGGCTGATCCAGCTACACAGGGCAAAAAAGCAGAGTTTGCTGCGTCAAAGAGAATGGCTCCTATTCCTGGTGCATTGACACCGGAAGTGATGAGGTGGTCTGAGAATGCCACTTTGATGAAGAAGGCAACCAAATTATAAGCCGTTCGAAACTCTTTTTTTGTTTGTGCTTCAACAGAATATATATGAAAAAAGACCCCTAAGCCAACGTTACTTTACGACGGAAGTCTCTCCCTCCCAAAAATAACAGGCGCTCCGTCCTCAACAAGATTGAAACTAAACCTCTCTTCCAAACCCCCACCACTATCAGTCCTCCACTCTCTAACCTCAACCTTAATCACGACATCCCCAGCTGTCTCTCTCGAATAAACAAGCATCTTAACCTCATTGCCCTCCACACGCACAAACCCTTCATGCATATAGAAATCCTTCTGCGCACAATCCCCACCCTCCCCAAAATAACGTCCTATAAGCACCCCATTCAAGAATATATACGCGGTTGCTGATCCACTTATACACAGTCGTAGCGGCACACGGAATGGCGATGACGCAGACGCCGTTGGGGCATCGAAATGGGATATGTAGTACCGTGGTGTGAATGCTTTGGCTGCGAGGGTTATTATGGATGTGGTGGATGACGGGCCTTGGCCTTCTTGTTTGATGTTGTGGGCGGGGGTGTAGTGTGTTGTTGCAGATTCGTCCGGGAAGCCTGTGGATGTGTATGCGTTGGAGAGGGTTTTCACGTCTATGCCGGTTACGTCCCACGATATGGATTTTGCGCCGGTTATTTTGGCTTGGACAATACCTGTTATGAAGTCATGAGATGATTGATCAGCATTTGTGCGTTATACAACAATATGAGTACATTGTTTCTTGCCAACCCGAAAACCCGCACAAAAGCATACCTCTCTGATTCCTAAAATCATACAAGAATGACGGGCCCCTCTGAAACCCAACGCTATCAACCAACACAACAACCGAATTAACACCCACCTCCACAAACCCACTCAAATCATACTCTCTCCTGCCACTCGCAAACATTTCCCAATCAGCACCCTGCTTAGCCCCCGGCTGCATCAACGCCAAACTATACGTGAAATGTCCACCAACGCAAACATCATTCACGTATATCGTTACCCGGTGGCGTGCATTGATTGATAGTTTCACATGCCCTGAATTACGAGGTACGGTAAACCTCGCTCTGTAGAGACAGTGAGCAGACGTATATCCTAGATCTAGAGTGTCGAGCGTCGGTTTACCGTCCTTGTGGAATGGGAGTGGATGCCATGCCATTGATTCGAAATCTACTGGTCGGTGCGTCCAGTTTGTCAACACGGGGCGAGCAAATAGGTTTGCAGAGATGGGACCTAGCGATCTTTGTAATATGAATGGGATATTGGCGTATGGATCTGAAGCTACCGGTTGCTGGAACCCCGTTACTGGTTTACCAGACAAGACATATACACCTGTATCATTCGACGAGTATTGTATGTCGATATTTCCTGTTACGTGGTCTCGTGATATGTGTGTGCATCCCCATGCGGCCAGCGTCGGACTATAATTATCCTTGCTAGTATTCGTATCCTTGCGGAAATGGGATTCATCAAACACCGGCGCGAGCGTAAAGAGATCATGTGTAGCAAGCGCGACAATATATATCGACGTAGCTGACGTTGCCGGTGTAACAGAAGCCCATCCAGCCTGCTTCTCAAACCTCACAACTGTAACAGCACCTTCTAATTCAGACCTCGTCGTAGCAGCTAAAGTTCCTTGTACCGTTACATGCCCACGGAAAGCCAGCTCTCCGGATGCATTATCATCGTTTTGGACAACCAGTACTTCGATTTTACTACTTCCTAGAGCAAGTACATCCAAATATGTTCGTAAATGGATTGGCATTGTTGATGCGACCAGATTCAATCCGTTATTAGCTGTATAGTTCACGAGTGAGATAAATGACGATTTATAGGGTAGCAATCCACGTAATTGGAAGGCAGGCAGTTTACCAATCTGGATGGATACATTATAACTCGATGATTCCTCTTTCGAGAAATTTCGAAATATTGCAATGCCAGCTCCAGTGACTTCCTTAGACGATCTCCTGGCAGCCAACACTTTTGTTGGCGACGCAGTTATGATTATGTCGGCATACGATTTACCAGGCAATACCAAATCCGTGGCAGCTGCTAATTGGGTAAAACTACGCATAAAGATGGAAGACAGACGTAGTAATCGTCCACGTCCACTTAATACACCGTATTCTCGAATACATGCAGAGTAATCGTATGAGGTGTAGACATCAGTGTCACCCAATGTTCCCCAATTCGTTCCACCATATCCCATGTAAAAGGAGGTTGCGGTTGAGCCTTGAGCGACACATGAGTCGTATAAGGTTCGTGTGTATGTGTGTCCATAGTACTAAGTTGAGTCGGTTTTATTGAGCGTTGACGAAGCAGTAAAAACATCGAGTCAGAACCAGTCGTATTCGTGAAACCTACGCTATAGATAGCATCGTACGTATACGGACACGTCCAATGATTGAACCAACCACCTTGTAGTTCCGGAATGAGAATAGGCGACTAGATATGATGGTTTTAGAATTGAATCAGAAGCCTAAAAAATCCTTAATGGCCTTGTCAAAACGCCGTACCTGAGCAGCACCACCACCATAACTCCTAACCGTACTCTCAATCCCATCCAAACCCCCTTCAATAATAGCAGGATCCCAAGGCTTCCATGTATTTGTAACAACATCTCGATCATTTTTCAGCACCAAGAGACCGCCAGTAGGTACCCATACGAGGTATCGATCAAATCCATACAAGTCAACACCAAACTGTGGTTTGCCGTATCGGGTTTCAGAGTCTGGACGTGTGATGAAACTGTCACTGATTATAGCGGCACTAAATAAATTACAACATTTAGAGAGGTTGTTCAAGGAGCATAGCAGCAACCAAAAAAGCCCCTTCGAAGTACAGAATCGTAGCACTCACTTTGTAAACAGCGGCACTGTAATGCCCAAATTTCGAGCAGTAAATGATAGGTTTCGCATGTGATCATGTAAACCAATAGGGAAACCTTTCAAGTCTTCATCTAGTTCGTTTTCGACTTGTAGGGCTAGGAGACAACCGCCTTTTCCGTTCGTGATTTGGTACTGGGATAGGATTGGTAGGAGAGCGCCAAACCTATATGGAATATATCGGGAAAGGTCAACGAATATTTTTGTGATTGTAGAAAGCTGAAATTTGGGATTTTTAAAAAATCCAATGATTTTCAGTACAACGAACTGTTGAAGTGGTTGCAGACCACGTGAAAAAATATTACAGCAAAGGCAAAAACGACGACGGTATGCGTGAACTAACATACCATTCATTCTCGTATTTCGAAAACTCGGGATCATACTTGGAGTACCAATAATTAACCTTGTGTCGTAACCGAATATTCTTCTTTGCTAGTAGCCATATAGGAAATCCACCGCCTATGAGATTTCAGTTCGTGGTGAGTGTGTTGCAAGTCACGATTTCAGTACCGTCTTCGAGTTTTTTTTTGCGATTGCATTTCTTGTAAATAACAAGATTAAATCTTGCAGTTGTATTGCATATGCACCTTGAGTTTCAGCACAAATATAAGGCCCAGGAGCAGCGAGCACGAAAATCTCTAGTTTCTGACACAGTTGCATCAAGAAATCCATGTCACGGTTTCCATCAAAGACGTAGACACCTTCGTTTGGACTGTGGAAGCCCCACTGTAACGAGATCAATGATGGATCAGATACTTTTGTATGATGAAACCATGATGAACGGTAGAGCATCAACAACGAAACCATCACATACGACCCACACAGATCGATTCAGCTCGCTTACATGAAAGTAAATCCTGATACAATTGAATCCAGCAACCTTGTATTCCTTCAGTATAGCTTCCCAACGAGACTGGTCTGGCACACGCCAGTAGTGGAACTCGGCACTACATAGCACCACACGTTGTCCGTTGACATAGAACGAGTACCTGATTCCAAGATATCAAGAAATTAGATCCACTGTATGAAGCTGTATCTGCACTTGAGCACTCAACCAAAACAGTGAGTGAGATGTTGTAAGCTTACTTGTCCCAGTTGAAGTATCTTCCGTATTTTTCCTTGTTATATTGCGTACTTGATGTGGTTATGGGGAGCGAGCCCATGTTATATTGCCGTAGACTGCGATAGGACCAGGCAGCCATAAGAGCTGAAATCGCGGATGTGGTTAGAATGGAGATTCCAGCCATTGCAAGCGGTGAGGCTGCAATTGTTTTGGTCCATGTGCTCATATTGGCTAGTGAATAGGTATGTATATGGTCAGTTCACTCTGGTGCCTATCCGCACATACACGTCAAATAGTTGTGCTACTAGCAACAGCTGACGGTGTTGACAGTCCGTATCGATCACCTATTTGTTTACTAATTAATAATTACGTATAGGCCACTATGAGGAAATGGCGGGTGATCTCGTTATTGCTTGCTCTGGCTGCTGCTTACCACATCTACAAGCGAAACACTCGAACCAGGCGAAAGTTGTTAAGATCTGGCAAGGACTATCAGCCTCCTGATCAAGGTACAAATTGTTTGCTATATTATATAGATTCATACAATTTCATAATTATTTTGCTGATTCTTCTATTGCAGCCGACATCATACGCAACTATGGCACGGCAACATTAAAAACATACTGCGTCATTGGTGCATCTGGTTTTCTAGGCAAAGCAATCGTCTCGGCCCTTATAGACAGAGGTGAAAAGAAAATCATCCTACTCGATATTTCCGAAATCAGAAACCCACCACGCAAATGGGACGGCAAAGTGTCCTTCCACTCCTGTGATATCCGGGATCCTGATCGCATATCTGCAATCCTAACGGGAAAGAACATAAATGTCGTCTACCACACTGCTAGTATCATTCGCCCACAGGATGTTACTGCTGCTGAATTGAACCTCTCGCATTCGATAAATGTCGAAGGAACTGCAAATATTATAGCGGCTTGCAAGAGTGTCGGCATACCGTATCTTGTCTACACGTCAACGTCTGATGTCGTTTGTGGACTAGAGATCCCGTCGATGAGACTAGATCATATTGATGAAGACACTCCACTCGCAAAACTACCGATAAACCACTATGCGAAGACAAAGAGGGATGCTGATATACTTGTAAGGCAAGCTGATAAGTCGGATCTGGCGGGGACTGCGTCTGGTGGGCAAAAGCAATTGAGAACGTGTGTGATTCGTCCTACAGGGTAAGAATGGGGAAGCAGACTTCATTTTGACTTGCACAAATATCTTTTTTCGCTCTTGCATCTTCGAAAACATCTCATTTGGGAATCAATAGGTGTATCGTCGGACTAGGCGACGGTTTCCCATGCGATTATTCATTCAAAACACGGAACTATACAGTACCATGTCTAGACATATCAATCGGATGGGTGGCTGTAGTAAACGCAGCATATGCACACCTACTAGCTGAACGAGGACTGCTTACAAACGTAGATCAAGTCGGTGGCCAGGCATTCTATGTCGGAAACTCGCCATGTGGATCGTACGAAGAGTATGGTGATATGCTAGAGGTAAAAGAAAACTGCTAATCGAAAAGGTAGCATGCATAGCATTTAAAATCTCTTTTTACTATACAGATGCTACCTGGCGCAAACATAAAAATAAGCCGTCTGCCATATCCGGGCGTCTTTATCTTTACGCTTGTCGCCAATTTCTTGTATCGCTTGCTGGGTATACCAGTTCCGGCTGGTAATCTGGATCGATATACGGCTGGATCGTATTTCTCCACAGTGTATTCGAGGAGCTTTTCATTTGCTCGGATTCAAGAGGTACTGGGGTATAGAGATTTGGTGACGATTGAGCAAGCGTTTGGAAGTGCGTTTCGTGAATATCAGGGAAGCAAAGGATTGAATGGCTGATGTTGGGGATTGGGATTGAGTGGGAGGATGGGTGAATATGTAGTTTATGGATAAGTTATAGGCAGAAAGAGTCACGGTAGTTAATTAAAATTGTTGGAATCTCGAATTATAAACGTAAAATATATTTTCTTTTGTCTTAAAACTGAAAGTAGCCTGAGATTTACAGAGAGCGTTCAAACGAGCTTCCCGTGATTTTTCATCCTCAGATTTCTGCTCGCAACTGCAACAAGGCACAAACACATCTAAATGTTATTACGGCAAGGTCACTTATGAGTCATGCTGCTAACTATATTGCTGATCGTGCCACTGGCAAGACTGATCCAGTCCTGGTATTGAAATATCCTGCAGTTGTTTATATATCAATTCAGTCAATTCGCTAACTCTAAATTTATTCTCCATTTAGTGGGTGAGTAAGCTCAAAATCGAAGATAAATCCTTGAATTACTCATTTTTGGTTTATGAATTTTTACTCTCGTTTGAACCAACCGTATTTCACACCAACATTAATCATACAATTTGGCTAGAATGTCGATGCACTTGGAAGTAACCCACAGAGCGACAAAACTCTTCCAAAACAATCCAATTTACGCCGAAATACTGCGTGATTATGAACCGTACTTGCAAGCCGGTTCATTCTTTCCTGACTGGTGCGTAACCGCAAGTGGTGTTTGGATTTTAAGCTTATTATTACCTAATCACCTAATTACCTCTCAACATATTACAGGGGCTACGCATGCGGCTCCGCATCAGACGAATCCGAAGCAGCCCACTGGCTTCCCTTCTGGAACCACACAATCGCATACATTCGTAAAACATACCCACCACCATTAACATCAAACGCAAAAGCTTTAATTGCATTCTTGTTTGGGATTGTGTCGCATGGTGCTGCTGATGCGCCGTGGCATTCGCTGGATTCGCGGGAAGGGTTTATTGAGGTTATGGCAGAGTATGATTTTGATGGGGTGTATGGAGATGCGCATGCGCATGCTGATCCTGGTGGGGATGTCATGTTGGCTTATGAGGGCGGGCTGGAGTATTTTGATGTGAGTATTCTGTTTAGTGTTTGGTTTTGGGAATTGGGAAAATAGGTGCTCCATCCCCTGCTCGAAAGGCTATTGCCATTTTCTTATCCTACTCGTCATTGAATCTCGCTCTTCTTTGATTATAGAGAGTATGGAGGATCCCTTCACTCGACATTGTCAACATCTACCACATCGCCGGCTATACCAACGTAACCCGCCTCCAGCTAGACGAATGCATGCTCATCGGATACACCGGTGCCCAGCTCAACAGAGCAATGGGACACTACCTCTACCCAGGTTTCGCAGCTCCATCTCCCTTCTTAGTCGAACAGTATATCGATTACTTTAAAGGCGGGATTGTCGATATGACGACGTGGGTAATCACATGCTGGAATTCAACTATCGAGTGGATTGAGAATGGGAGTGAGGGAAGCAGGTTTTGTAAAATGTTTGATGACTGGAGTTTTGATCATGTGGGGAGAAGGGGTGAAGGGCAGTATGTTTTGCAAAATGGGCATGGATTTAGGACCACGTCGATGAGGAATGTCCGGTGTATCAACTCTGTTATTAGTTTAGAAGACACGCTGTTGAAACTATCTTCCAGGTTTTGGGTCAAGCCTCAGAGAGTCGAACATGTTGATATTACTGAATTCAAACTCGTCAGTCTGTTTGCTCCTACCGCACCATCCGAAAATCCAGCAAAACCACAATCACAGTCACAAACAACAGAAATAATACCCACCATCCGAAAAATGATCCGTATAATTAAATCATACATATCCTTTATATTCGCATTGGGACGTGCAGCAGGAGACGTCATGCATGAAGGACTGATGTCGCTTTTCGAACGCAAACCAATGTCATGTCCTACTGCAGAACGTGTAGAAACATGGAGTATCCCAGCTCCATATGCTGCGTTTGGTAACAGTATGGTGTCTCTCGAGATTAATGGGCGGACTGTACTGGCTATTGGAGCACCGTATTATACAATGCCGAATTCGTCGACTTCGCATATTGGTGCTGTGTTTCTTACGTTGCTTGATAAGAATACTAGTAATAGTAGAACAAGTGATGTGCCTTATTTCGCTATGTTATATGGAGACGTATCAAACGCAGGCTCACGATTCGGTACATCACTCGCAATAGTAGACCTAAATTCCGATGGGATACCGGATATCGCTGTATCTGCTCCATCACACGATGCATCTAAACTATACTACAATGGTCGTGTGTACGTCTTCTTCGGACAAAAACAGCTCGAGGGTGGATTTTCAATGGGACAAGAACCTGATGTAATAATTGAAGCCACACAACCGTTTCCGAATATCCCACCGTTCAAAGAGGGAACTGGTGTTGGTGCACATTACAAGTACCGGTATAGGTTTACTGTGCTTGGTGTTGCGTTGCTGGGAGCTGATGTTGATGGTGATGGATACAAGGATTTGGTTGTTGGATCCCCGTTTGCGGCGTATGATGGTGGGATCAGTAGTCAGGTGAGTGCGGTGCAATGGTTTAAATGAGCGAAGAAGTGCATATTTTGTATTCGTAGCGGCTTTTTTATGCTGGAGTGTCAACTTTTTGTCACCTAACTCAACTCACTTTCATTTCTCCCAATTTTAGAGAGGTGTAATCCACGCATTCTACTCATCATCAAACCATACCGGTGTCATTGACGCCAGATTAAATGCCGACTGGTTTTTCCCATCCCCTGCACGAATAGATTTTGAGAGGTTTGGAAGCTCGTTGGCCATGGTGGACAAGGATATCTTGGTTGTTGGAGCTCCTGGATTTGCATTGCTGGGTGATAAGACACGAGGACGGGTATATGGTTTCAAGATTAAGAAACGAGATCAGTATCCAGTTCTGCTGTGGAGTGTGGCTGGGACGGGTGATTTTGGACAGTTTGGAAGGTAAGACAGAGAGAAGGTGGAATGTGCGAGACGAAGTGCTGTCTTCAATAGTTCCATTATGCAGCAGTTCTTTTTTTGTTATATCTCACGTACCTCTGCATATGACCTAGCTCAATAACACCATTCACAACCAATAATCGCACAATGCTCATCATCTCGTCATCATCTGAAAGAAACCCATACGCATCATCCCGAGTCCTGGATTTACCTGGTGCAGCATACGATTACTCGTTGCGTGGATTCCAGGCTGGAAGTATACGAGTTATTGATACGACTGATTTGGTATTGCGTGGGATTGGAGATGATGATGTAAATGATAATGTGACGCTTTTGACGATTCGAGGGAGTGCTAGTTCGTCGCATTTAGGATGGAAAGGTGGTGTGGCTGTTGGGAGGGATGGGATTTACCTTGGTGAGATGCTTGATAATCGAGGTATGTTATGTGCTGGTACTTATTTCGAGTTTGCGACAATTTGTGTAGCGTAGCTTCCATAGATCACTAACCATGTATGCATTTTTTTCTTTACATTTACCGTTTCAATCTTTTTCGTAGAGCAAGAACAAGTCCACTTAATCCCAGCACCAACAGCCGGAACTCATGATTCACCTACCAGAGTATCAACAACATGCTGGCAAGATAAAGCATCAACGTCGCAACAACAAACACGGTTTGGATCTAATATACTCGTTATGGATGTTGACGGCGATGGGAAGGAAGATTTGATTGTGAGCTTTGAACATGGTGGTGTTGATTTTGCTGGTTCTGTATCTGTTATTTATGGATAACGCTGAGCGTGCTAGCTGAAGTCTAGGCATGTTTGCTTGCTACAAATCGTATATTATCTGGTAAGGTAAATTATAAAAACACTGGTTATATAGTCTTTAAGACTATATCATGATCAACAAATCCTGTACCGCTATAACCTTACTTTACATATACACTGAGGCTTTGTCAGATCGGAGTTTCAAACAGACCAAGTCTTTAATCGAGAACCCAAACAGCAGCTAGAGAAGAATGTCTGTTGCTGACCTCACCAATCTCATTATCCCGGCCTTTAGAGGTCTTCCACTTGGCAGCCTTGTCGCTGGTGTTGCTGAAGTAGTGATGGATATTTACCAGCGGTGTCAGAGTCTGAAAGTAAACCGTGCCCGTATCGAGAGGTTCACAACTCGATCAGTCCTCATCCTAAATGCCCTCAAGTCAGCCTCCAAGGACATTTTGGATACGACGGCTGTACAGGGCTTCTTAGATCTCTTGAAACAAGACCTCGAAGACATTCGCAATTTTGTCGATAAGGTATTCAGTTTTCAAGAGCACAAATCCTTCAGCTGGCCGGCGTTAATCCTACATCTCAGACTGCAAAGATGAACCAATTCCAACTCATGTTGGCTGCTAATGACAATGAGAAGAAACTGGCCGAGTTTCAGGCAAATTTGGCAGAAGCTTGCATTGGTGTTAATTTCGCCATCGCAGTCACAGATTGGCCTGCTGAAAACGATGTAGACACTCAAACGGACACGACGAAATTGAATGAGGAAATTAAGGCTGAGCTTGCCGATTTGGTGCAGTGTTTTTCTGGTTGATTTCCTTCTTATAGCAGAACCTGACCTAGACTATTTCTTAATATTTCAGAACCGGATTTTAATTAACGACCGCCAGATCGCACAGGCTAACCACGCTGAGGTGCTCCGTATGATTGCAGCTTTGCAGCCTTTGAGTGAGGAAGTCGAGGCGCGAAAAACTTACAGAGGTTGGAAACAAGCTTTTGGACCCTGTGCTGGCATTGAAACATCATCACCTGTTAATTAGGTCAAAAGTTGACTGCTGATAAACTGGGACCTATTCTTCCAAAAATGGCGTCTATGAAAACATGGCCCTTTTATTGTAACCACATTTCGGAGGCTGAATGTGATTACAGCTAGCTGACCCTCATATATTTCGTCTTCCTCTAGACAATCTCCTTGGAGCTGAAGGAGCTCAACTCATCGCGACAGCAGCTACAGACAACGAAACGGTTGCATCTGTTGATCTGGGCCGTGAGTTGTTGCAAAAGTGAAGATTCACAGTATCTTCATGGTGGCTGACCATTACCCTGATAACACCATGCAGGAAACGATATCGGGGATGAAGGCGCCAGTGTTGTAGCGGCTCTCATCCGTGGACAAACGCACATTAGCACTGTTGCTCTTGCTTGTAAGTGCTTGTTTATGCTTCTTCTGGGTCTTCTAAAAACCCATTGACATCGTAATAGGGAACAACATTGGCGATGTTGGTATGAAACAACTTTGTGAGGCGCTACACAGCAACACAACTGTGAAAATCCTCAACCTGTCCCGTAAGTCTTTGCCTTAAGCGAAGAGAACTGGAAGCACGCTAATCCGCTTACGCTCAATGCTTTAGGCAACGCTGTTACGCCGGCCGGCGCCAAATCGATCATCAAGATGCTTGAAGTTAATCGCACCTTAACTACCGTAGACCTTTCCAGTAAGTTTGAACTTGTTGACACTATGATCGCAGACTACTGAAGTCTTACATAGAGACTGGAATTAAGGCTGCTGATGCCAAAGGTATTAGCTCGGCAGTCTCAAACAACAAACGCATTGTCGAGATTAACCTTCGAGGTAAGTTATTCCTGACGCCGCACAAGTCTTGATTTCAGGTTAAATCCCATCCATTGAACAGAAAACAAGTTGAATAATTGGACGGGGCGGGACGTGCGTGTGAATATTATGCGGGCCAATAAAAAGTAGAGTGGATTTATAATCCACTCTCCTGGCATCTGACCCTTGCGAAATGTGACCACATACTCTCCAATACACAAATCCATACATCTATCCGAAATTTGACCACATACGTTCCAATACAAATCCATACAAATACTAAAAGAACTTGGCTCATGCTAATATTGCTATTTGCAATACTGATGTAGTCTTGATATTGAGACTTATTGGTTTCACGTGCTGCATTTGATCAATTACTCAATTTTCAATCTTTATTTGTGGGTAAGTAGGACCCGTGAGTGACCACGATTTAGAGTATTTTCATACTGCTGGGGCCGTTGGCTCTATTTTATCTAAACATATTTGACCAACAACAATTTTCTTAGTCAACGTATTTGGAAGTAACCCTCAGAGACGCCAAATCCTCAACATGTTTCCTTCATATTAGTAATGAGGCTTGCAGCAGCAGTCGTGTTATACTTTCCATCACCCATATGTCCCGCCGTTTCTTTTTTCCACTTCGAGCTCTGGTCAGTTTGTAACGGAGTAAGGCCACGTCCACTCAAGCCCAATACCGTCAACTCGTCGGGTTTTATAAAGTATCAACAACATTCTGACAAGATAATATCATCAATTTGTCGACGAACACCATTCGTTATGTGTGTTTGATGTTTTTGGATGGGAATGAAGTTAATTGTGAGCTCGGGACTTTTCGATGTAACTTGATCTAATTATGTGCATGGTATTGATGTATGTAAAGAGTCGTTTTTGTGGTTGTTGACGATTAGTGTAGTTTTGTTTTTGTTGGGTGATGCTTTTTAGATCGTGATGGATTTAGAGATCTGGGTTGTTGACTCACCGTCTTATGGTGACAGTAATAGTACCTTAGTTATGCATCATCACTGGTTCACAACAGGAAATTATTTCCTACTAATTCATCAACACCACCATTGTACAAAAACATAAAAATGTATTTGGAAATCAATATATTCCAAGAAACATTTATGATGATGAGTTCGATTACCAAAGTTTTAATTACTTTAGATGGTTGCCTCGGGAGCAGCAGGTGTTTCTGATATAGGTGGTAAACTAGATGATGTGACAGGAGGTAGTGAAGAAGATGCAGCATCCAATCGGGCATCCATTTCTCGTTGGAAGGAAGCCGAGAAGCTTTCGCTGGGTTCGAGGGTTGGCGGTGTTGGTGATGTTATAGGTGCAGTCGTTTCAGCCTGATGAGAATGAAAGGGATAAATTATAGTGTTAGCATCCAGCCGACATACAGAAACTTTTTCTTTGAAATCGCTCTTCGTCGTGATATTGAGACATTTGCGAGATTAAAGATCAGTCCCTTAGATATAATATTGATACACAATCATAGCCGTCATGTGTGTGTATGGTGTCATCATCTCTTCTCGTATAAAATCTCATTGGCCTCACATAAAGTCAATCAGCCCAGCCGATACTTGCCTCAGTAGAACTAGTCACCGCATCCGTACCCTCCAAAACCGGTGGCGTACTACTTATACCACCAGCGACGGCCGCAGAACCAGTTGGAGCTCCTCGTCTCGGTGTTAAAAACTGTGACGATGCAGCAGATGCAGATTTTTCTAATGGGTATGCAGATCCTGACGATGGTGCCAGTGAGACTAGCGGTAGAGCACCGGCCTTGCTTTTGGTTTCGTTGAGCCCAATACTCCATCCGTCTTCATATACTTGTCTATTTGAAAATTTTGGGTTTGTTACGGTTTTCGTGCAAAGGTTAAAAAAACGACAGCAGGATGAACAAGAATGGACTCACTGGAGCAATACAATGTCCCCCAAATCTAGATCAACTTCATCCTCTAACTGTGCTTTATACGCAAGGACAACTGGATACCTCTGACCACCAACAAAGAGTGATGGCAGTGGTGTTTCGGTTGATTGAGCGTATGTTGGGGGTGGTCTATTAGTCGTCTGATTTTCAAAAACAGACGAGAGTTTATTATTAGTGATGGGCCTCTTGAATAAAAATCAGAACGACAAGAAAGAACACAACGATGTTGGAAATGTCTTACCAGTTCAGTAGACGAACCACCCATATCCTTAACCAACATCTCAGACCCAACTACAGAGCCCCCAGCAGGAGCTGCCCCATCATACGGTATATAATACGCCCCTGTCTGGTACATGTGTCCCGTAGCAGGATCATAAACCGGCGTCGACGGAGCATAAACCGGCATTGTCGACGATGCGGCCACTAATACCGGCGGTGTAGCAGCACTAGCCGTGGTTGCAGCCGCAGCAGCATCACCTGGATTGTATTCCTGGAATGTGCCCGCATTGGCAGCGAAAACATTTGATGGTGCCGGTGGTTTGGCTAACGGCTTTAATACAAGCGGGTCGTTCGGTTTCGGCACTTTTCTGCGATCGTTACGACGCATGCAGACCAGGCATATAACAATTAGGAGTGCGAGGGCTACGACTCCTCCTACTACCCCGCCGACTATAGCCCCAATTGGCGTTCCTGACGATGATGGGAGGGCGGTTGCTGTTGATGATGGCGACGGTGTTGATGAAGGAGATGCGGATCCGGTTGGTGTGTTTGTTGGTTTTACGGATGCGCTGGGTGTGGGTATTTGGGATGGTACAGAGGCTGGGTTTAGAGATGCTGGGTAATCTACGAACGAGTTTAGACTCAGGTCGTAGAATGTCATTAGTTGGGAAGCTGTTGTTGATGATATTTGGCCACCGTATTGGATAAAGTTGGATCCTACGACAACTCCCTTGATGGATCCAATGTTGGCGGACGGAGCAGCTGCACTTGCTGCAGTAGACGTAGCGAAACTAGTCCAGGCCCCAGTTCCTAGATTAAACGACCATACAGTCTGGTCTGTACTCAGGTATCCTCCATACACTACTAGTCGGTTCTCCGATGCTGAAAATCCACATGCTGCACCATATCTTGAACCTGGGCCGGTGTTTTGCTGCGAGACAGTTGACCAACTGTTGCTACTCGAGTCGAATATGGCTAGATCGTTTAATGCTGAACCACCAGATGATGATTGTCCAAATGCGATTAGCATGCG